ATTTGTGCCTAAAACAGGTCTACAGAAAGTTTGGGATCAGAAAACACTTTCACCTTACCAGTCGTTGGGCTTTCTTCCTCCGTCCTTCTGTGCCCACACTGACTAATTGTACGTGGCTTTCCCTCCCTCTTCCCTGTGTATTTCCCTCCCATATCAAGACCTTCAGAAAGGAGGGCAACGTGGACAATTTCCCAGTTTTCCAGCTGGGCATCTTACCAAGAACAAACCCAGACATCAAGGCCAGACCAAAAAAACTCTTCATGTTTTAGACAGAAGACTCCTACATCTGGGGGATTTAATGCACCCACTGTCCAGGCAGTGCATTTCCTGTGTCCGGAGCTTCTCTGCCTGCCGGCTCTGGTCTCATAAGTTTCCATACCCTGCTGCCAACTTGTAATAACAGAAGCAGCAGGCAGCAGGGTAGAACGTCACAACCCGCTCCACTCCATACGTGGGAGCATGCTTTGCAGACTGAAACAAAGCCTGGAAGGTGTCATCACAGGCCTTGCAGCCTTGACAGTGGTTATGCCCAGACCACCAGGAGCCTGGAATTAAATACCCTCGGATCCAGTTCTCCACCATTAATGTTATCAACTTCATCAAGTACTTCCTCTTTGAGTGGTGTCTGCAGAGAGGTAAATAAATCAAGCTCCTCCAAGTCCTGTTCCTGCCGGGATCCTGAGTTAGAAGTAAAATCTGAGTTGAATTATCTAGAGCACTGTCACTCCTTCATTGTTCCCAAAGATCTGGGCAGGAACAGAGAGTGAAATCTCTCCAGGACATTACATCAGTTCCTCCTTTACCCTTGGCATGAGAGTTCCTTGCCCTGAGTGCACACCCACACACTGTGCCTTGAAGCCAGGACTTCAAAGAAAGGCTGCAGGTAACCAGATTACTGACCAACGCCCCTGTCCATTGTAAAATTTATAAGGCGGGAAACGAATTCAGGAAATGGGATTTTTCTTCAATACGTGGTCTTATCATCCTTAAGTATTTTTAAAGCTTAATAGGCTTTTAAGTAAAGAAAGACATTCTGAAAATGGCGTTTAGAAAAAAAATATATGAAAGTGCAAAATGAAACTGTCTTGAGTAGTTACTTCCAATGATGATATTCTGTGGAAAATGAAAAATGAAACGTGGACAAAAGATAAATCCATTTTTGGGGGGGCAGCAAAATTGAAATCCATATTAGCTATATAAAAAAAAGAACTTGCCTTGTCCCCAGAAGCCTGCAGATCATTTCTATCATAAGAGTATTAAATCTTAGCCATTACAGTTAACTCCCTAACTTGATTGGCCTAGTCAGTACCCCGAATGCATTTATATGCAGTTGGGTCAAAATGAGAAAGTTGGTGCTTGTCATTCCAACCTGTACTTTTGCAAGGTTGATTAAGTACTTAAAAAAGAAACTTTGCAATGGGAAATATCAAATCTATATACAATTCTGTAATGAGACCCTATGTACCCACCCCCAGTTTTGGTAATCAACTCATGGCCAATTTGTTTTCTCTGTACTTCACCTACTCTTTCTTTCACTATTCCAGATTATTTTAAAGCAAATCCCAGATATATCATTTCATCTGTAAATATATTAGGTCTAAAAAGGACTCTTTAAGATAATACAGTACTAGCACTTCACCTGAAAACCAGTAGTTCACATTTTCCAATTATCTTATGTCTTTTACAGTTTGAATCAAAATCCAAACAACGATCTAAACATTGCAAGAGGTTGGCATGTCTCACAAGTCTCTTTCAACCCAGTTTCCCATCCATACTCTTCTTGTACATGTTTAAGGACTGTCTCTCTCTCTCTTTGGGTTTTTTAAAAAGAATGTTTTTCCAGTATATAATATGGGTTAAATGTCCCTTTTGCTTGGGTCCACAAGTACTTTGAAGTTTGGATTCTTTTCAAATTTTGGAATACTTACTATACATGAAGAGATAGTTTGGTTGATGAGGCCCAAGTCTAAACATAAAACTCATTTAAGACCTTATACACGTAGCACAAAAGTAATTTTATAAAATGTTTCAAATAATTTTGTTGATGAAACTAAACTTCATGGTGTAGAATTTTCTGTGTGGGATTATGTAGACATTCAACAAGTTTCGTATTTTGGATTGCGGGTGCTTAACGTATTCCTCCTTAAGACCACCACAACCAGTCCCAGATTCTTTCAAGGTTTTCCCTGTAACTTTGGTTTCCAAAAGTTTGACTATGGTGTGCCCGAGTGTGATTTTCATCGTATTATACTCTATTTGGGTTTCACTAAGCTTGTTGAAACTTTAAGCTTGTTGTTGTTGGTGGTGGTGGTGATGGTAGTGATGAAGTGGTTGTCATTGTTGCTATATTTGAGTACAGTTGGACCATTAACACGTCTCCTTGCCCCCATTCTTTCTGTAATCTCCTCCTTGGATTCCAGTTACATGTTAATTAGACCACTTGTTGTAATTTGCTTGTTTTTAATTTTTAATTTTTATTGATATCAAATTTACTAACCCTGTCTTCTCTGTCTAGTGTGCCCTAAGACATCCGGTCTAATTTCCCATTTCTGTTACTGTATTTTCAGTTCCAGAATCTTCATTTTCTTTAAGTTTCCATTTTGATGGTCTCTGACATCTCTCATTATGACCATCATTTCCTTTAAGTGCGTGAATTTATTTAGAATAGCTACATTAATGTCCTTCTTTGCTAGTATTAACATCTAAACAATCTCAAAATGCCTTGCTCGTAAATGTGGGCCACACTTTCTAGAAAATGTCTAGAAAATTTTGTTGGAATACTGAACATACAGACAGCATACTGTAGAGGCTTTGAAGTGTTATATTCCTCTGGTGTGCTGACTTTTGTAATACCGGGCAATTAATTTACTAGCAGTCACTTGTGAACTCATGTAGTCTTGGTCTTACATTTCATTAGGGCAAACCTGTTTCAGTTTTGCCCTAAGAGGTGACCATTTGAGATAATGGATAGCCTGTAGTGTTTACAGATCCCTCTAACTTGATGAGACTCAAATTATGAACTTCTGTCTCTACTGCAGTAACTGAGATTTCTCCTATGTCTTCCAGCCATACAACTATACCTTTGAGTGAGTTCTTAGAGTTTCCGCTGCACCTGTTATTCAAGAGGCAGACAAGAATTTGAGTGTTTACATGGCATTCTAGTAGCTGTCCCTTTTGAGGCTTCCTCATATATGAGATTTGCTCCCACAATTTTCTGCCATTCTGTCATCTATATATTTTATCCTATGACAGCTCAAGCACTGATCTGTTCATCTTGTAACTGCCCTCTGCCATGTAGACTGGAGAGTACCCTCAGGGAAAATATATATAAATATGTGTCTCTTTATATAGTTCCTTTCAAGAATAAAATCCCCTTCAATTTTCTTGCTTTTCATCATTCCCTAGTATCTTCAAATGGTTTTTTAAAATATATTTTACCAGATTCTATCATTTCTAGCTGTAGAAAAGTTACTGGCACAAGCCACTCAGCCATTATTAAAATTGGAATCTCGCCTCTTCCCTTATAGGTGAGTGATGGTTGATCATAAATACTTCATTTCTGTTTTCATATCTAACCATAGAACCTGGATGCTAGTTCCTGGCAAAATATTGAAATACTCCTGTTCTTTTATATGTTTGCATAGCACTCCATTATTTAGAGATGTATTATAATTTACTTTAAAAGTTTCCTGTTGATAGCCATTCCACTGATTAAGCACTTTTGAATTTATGGCAGCAAATTATGCATTAGTTACAAAAGAAGATCATCTTTGCCTTTAAGATGATCTTTCAATATCATGAACAATATTTCCTTTGTTTATTATCTTATATGCTATGTGAGATCTAGTAGAACTTTAACAGGGGAATAGAGACTTTCCTTTTTTATCTAGTGTAAAATTTGAAGAAACCACCATCCCTCTCTGTGTTTACTGACCTTGTCAAATTCCTTTATTCCTTATCTCCTTTATGAGTTCTTCAGATAAATATGTCTTAGTGGTCCTTCTTATCTCTACCTATCTCTGACATTTGTAAGGTCTGTGCAATCACCAATGAGATGCTCCTAAAAGTCTCTCAAATATAAAATTGTCTGTAAAAACCTTCCACTCTTTATGCTGAAACCAAGTTTTGATATGACTTTGTGCCCTAGTTTCTGTGTGACAAAGTGATACTGTAATGTGTACACACATTCTAGAATCTGTCTTGAGTCTGATCTCTTAATTGAGTGTGCAACTTTGGATGAATTGGCTCAGTTTTATCATCTATAAAATAGGAGCAATAGTGCTCTCTTCTGCTTAGGAGTAAGTTTTAAACAAAGTCTAGTACCTGAATAACATCACTGTTAGTCATGATCATTATTAGCAATAACAACTCCTGGACATAGATTCTTTGTTTCTTGTCTCATCTTTTTGAGACAGGGTCTCACTATATGGTTTAGGCTGGCCTTGGGCTCACTTTGTAGCCCTGGCTGATCTTGAATTTGCAACAATCTGCCTGCCTCAGCCTCCCAAGTGCTGGGATTATAGGAATGCACCACCACACCTGGCTTGGACTTAGATTCTTACAACCAAGTTTTCATATCATCTAAGTCAGTGAGAGCATCTAAAGAAAATTCCCTAAGGGCCCTTTGCCTTTCAAACCCACATAGAAGAGTCAGGTGAGAAGATAAAGGATGGAGATTGGGCTTGTGTTTATCAGTTTCCAGGTGTGGACCCAATGTTTGTAGACATTCCTAGTTTGTGGAGTAATCGAAAGACAATTTCAAGTATGTGTACTTTTGTATAAGAAACAAAAAAAGATACTGCATCCCAGGGAGAAGGGAACTTTGTAAACAGGTACAACTGCCATTAGAGCCACTGTGAGGTCAGTGACTTGCCAGTTCACAGGTCTGTGGTTGTCTTTTTTTTTTTTTTTGTACCAGGGATTGAACTCACAACCTCATGCTTGCCAGACAACACACTGAGCTAAATCCCTGGCTGGTTGTCTTTGTCTTTGCCCCACAGATAACTGTGTCCAGAGGACCCCCAGGCCATCTGTGGAGACTGTGCACCACAACCCTCCCACCATTGAACTCTTGCACCGCCCTAGGTCACCCATCACGACAAATCACCGGCCTTCTCCAGACCCAGAGCAGAAGCCCCTCCGGTCCCCCCTGGACAATATGATACGTCGCCTCTCTCCAGCTGAGAGGGCCCAGGGACCGAGGCACCACCAGGAGAACAACCACCAGGAGTCCTACCCTTTGTCAGTGTCTCCCATGGAGAATAATCACTGCACGCCATCCTCCGAGTTCCACCCAAAGCCCTCCAGTCCCCGGCAGGAGAGTACCCGAGTGATCCAGCTGATGCCCAGTCCCATCATGCACCCTTTGATCCTAAACCCCCGGCACTCCGTGGATTTCAAACAGTCCAGGCTCTCTGAGGACGGGCTGCACAGGGAGGGGAAGCCCATCAACCTCTCCCACCGGGAAGACCTGGCTTCTTACATGAACCACATCATGGTCTCAGTGTCGTCGCCAGAAGAGCACGCCATGCCAATTGGGAGAATAGCAGGTGAGTGAGCTTGCCCCCCTCGCTGCCTGAATATCGAGGAACCTGGCACAGCCCTCCTCCTTCTCCGAGCCTTGCAGCTAGCCTCACACTGTTGCCACTTAGGTGCCCAAAGCGGCTCTGGGAGGCCACGTGGAGGCTTCAGTCAGGATGAGGCAAAATCCCTAATGGCCTGGTTAATGAGCCACAGGGAGGGAGTAGTTAATGAGCCTCGGAAATGTTAAGAAACAAATGTCTTAGGTCCAGCTTACAAGGAGTCACATCAGAATCATGGCTAAGCGAAAACATTTAAAATAAAAGGTTTATGAGCATGGTAATAGCCCTGTCCTGAAGTTTCCAGCAGCTAATTAATAACCAGACACAGCATAAAGAATCTTTGTCTCAGATTCATGCCTATAATTCCATCCTGTGGGCAGCTTTCACCTTGAGAGGGGCAGGAGAGGAAAACAGGATTATGGGGTTGGAGGTGTTACTGGGTCTTTTGGACAGAGGAAACTACTCCCAAATTCTTTTTTATTTTATGATGACAAGTTCAAATCTGCTTACACAGGACAAGAAACCAGTAAAGAAAAAATGTGCTCATTCCATTTTGGCTAATCTGACCATAACTGGTATGAAATCATTCTCCAAAAGCCTCTTGCCCAGTTTGGCAAGGTGAACTCTTTCCCTCAAGTCTCTCCATTAATGAGGCATTTGTTGAGCACTTATTGTGTACAGGTGAATGTGTCAGGATCTCAGTATATTGACTTAACACACAATAGCTTTTCACCCAGAATTGAGGATTCAGTGAGAGACAAATGTGGACAACACTTAAAACACAAGGCAGAAGGAAGTAAATCCTATGTCATATTCATGTCGTGTGTGAGTACTCACTGAGCACCTGTTGTGCCATAAAGCAAAGCAAAGGAAGATGTATTCCAACAGAGAAACAAAGGTTTCATGGAGGTGACTCAGTTATGCTCTGTGTAGTGAGGAGGAGGCCTGGAGGTAGAGAACAGACCTGCGCAGGTGCAGGTGAGACGTGTGCCTTCCTCCTACCAGGATACAGCAATGCCCATAACAACAGGTGCTTTTGGAGGCTTCTTGCGCCTCTGCCTGACTTGCCTCTTGTTTGAATCATTTGTTTCTCAGGCCCTAAGCGCACCTCCCATGTTGCATCAGTATTGTTGTAAATAATCTGCATCAGGCATGCAGAATCAGGGACATAACATGGAATCTGGGGATGTAGCTCAGTGGTAGAGCACTGACTTAGCATGTGCGAAGGCCCTACAGTTAATCCCTAGCACCATAAAAGGGGAAAAAGAGGAAGAAAGAAAGAAGGAAGGAAGGGGTAAAGATAAGTTTAAACTTACATGTTTCAAAAACCTATGAAAATGGGATTTTGGATTCTGTTCAAAAATGATGCCTCAGATTTATAGAGTGGAGACCGGGATGGATTATACCATCAGATAAAGTTAGCCAGGAGCTTACTATGGTTAAATGGCTGTGTGATGAATGGATGGGGGTTCACCTTGTTCTCTTTCCTCTTACATATACACTATGTTTTGCTTTATTTTATTTTTATTTTGTGGTATTAGACATCACCCCACTTGTTTTTGTTTGTTTTGTTTCTTTTTTGAGACAGGGTGTCACTAAGTTGCCCAGTCTGGCCTGAAGCTTGGGATCTTCCTGCCTGTAACTTCCCATAGCTGGTATTGTAGGTGTGTGCCATCACTCATTGGGGTGCTTAAGTAATTAAGAATTGTGGAGGTGGGAGTTAGGGTACGAAGTGTTTAGGCAGAACGTTAATTTACGTCGGTAACTAGAGAAACAGGATGGGGCCAGAATTTATCATTGCTGTGATATAAATGATCTTACGCTTTCCAGTCAAGACCCTTCTTGTTTACATTGTTGATGCAACAGGACTTGACATTTTGTGGGTCTTTTATAGTTGTTAATAATTCTCAGGACAGCTCTTTGCTATAGAGTATTACAGCTGTGTTCCTTTCATGTATAAGGGTCATCTGTACAGGAGAAAGCACAGAGGGACCTGAGCCCCAGCATCAGGCAGGGGTTGGGGAACTCACTACTCTCAGCTGCTGTCCTTAATGCTGCTTTTGTGAGTCTGGCTTTCTTATCAAGGTTTTTAATGTTTGCATCCACCACACCATGATTTTCACCACACATGCCTTAGGAATCTAAGATAAGCCTATTGGTCAAGACAGAAAGCTTAGACATGTAAAATTACTTTCCCCTTGTTTAATAAGTTAAAGTTTCAAAACATTAGCCTTAAAATTATGCCACCATTGTTTAAAAATCTTAATTCTGAACATTAGTATCATCTGCTGATGGATCCCATCTTTTCTGTTAAGGAACTTCATGGACGTTTGTACTGATCAAATGCTGAGCCTTGTGTCTGTAGAACATACAGAAATAGGAGTCTCTGCTTTTCTTTATGGCTTTGGGAAGTCAGAGTTTTCATGTAAAATAACCCCTGGTCCAGATCTTTTGGGGAATGTGTTAACTCCTTCAGTAGGACAGTCCTCTAAAATGAATTATTAATGTTATCATGGTATATTCAAAACTTTAAATGTCCAAATATATGCATTAACTAACTTAACCAAATCCAAGATTAACTATTTAATTGAAAGCTATTACTTTTCATGGGGGTGAAACAAGAGGAATTGATTAGGTGGTCTCTCTATTTCTTTTCCAGTCTGCAAGTCTGCAGTATGACACTGGTCCTGATTCTGTACATTTCTGAAAAGCTCTCATCAGTTCTAGGCTCCTGTATTCCTCTGTGAGATACCCCTGCCTCTCTACCTTAATCCCCTGTTGTCTTTCTGGACTACTCAGGTCCTTGGAAAATGGAGTGTGTTCATTGGAGGTATAAATTCATTGGGTAGTTCCTGTGTACAGTGTAAAGTTCTTTCATTACTGAGCAGCCATAAGAAGTTATTAATCTCTATAAAGCAACTGTGAGAGTAGAAAAATTTAGTTTCTTAAAGCTCTTTAAATGAGCACAACACAGAAAGAAGGTGCTGCTTAGCCTCACACTGATGAGCACCATAGCTGAAGGATGTAGATGGGAACAGTCTTCATGAATGTGGGTCAGGAAACAAAGCCCAATTCTTGCCATTCATATGCAGTTTGCTCAGAGACACTTTGAAGTCAGCCATTCGGACACCTGTGTTTACAACACTGTGCTGCATTCTTGTAGGAGTGGGAATTCACAAAGGTGTAAGACACGGTCTTTATCATAAAAGAATAGAGCACAGTTAGCTATAAAATTGAACCACGTGATGCATGTCTTTGGAAAGCTCCTAAAAAGCACTGTTGGGGACCAGGCCAGGCTGCATGGAGGGCTGGCTCTTAGCTAGGCTTGGAAGAACTTAGAATATGTACAAGAGTCAGGTGGCCAAGATAGCTCAGCTGGGAGAGCATTAAACTGCAGAACATGAATAAGATTCCCGAGGAAGAAAACTTGCAGGAGCCAACACAAAATAAGGGCCAGTGTATTTTCTCTACTTCGAGAAAAGTCTAAACTTAAGGATCTAGAGCTATACGGGTCAATTAAAAATTCAATTTTCATGAGTTTTTGTTTTTACCTATTAGTATATAATTCTGTAAAGCACCATACAATTAAAAGGTTACATGTAAAGCTATGATAATCTACTTAGGTGCATACCATGTAGAAAAACTAAAATTACAAAGGAAATTCAGTAGGTGTTCGACAGTTTAAATGCAGGTCACAAATTAGATTTAATTATGTAGCTTATTTTAACTTTTAAAGGATAAGAGAGATTGATGGGAGTTTAATGGGTTGGAAGGGCTGGCATTTATAAGAGAGTTTAACAGGATAGAGTGAGATAAGTTTCCTAAGTTCTGTTTTTTATCAAATAGCCAATGATACATGTAACAGTGAGCAGGTTGCTTTTTTATGCATATTTTCTACTTAATATCTTCAGGAAAGGACTTCTGAGGATTGAGGGGTAACAGGAAACATCTGTCAGTCTTCTAGAACATTTCCCTATCTACAAGTTTCACTGGCCTGTGTCTCCCCAGTATTTCATAGGCAGAGAGCAGAGTGGCCTGGAGTACCTGCAGGTTGATGGCAGTGTATGTGATGCAGGATGTCGTGGTTTCGGGCTGCAGAGCAGTCCCCTGGTTACCCATGGTTTCAGTCACCTGTGGTAAACCAGGTAAAAATACTGAATGAAAAATTCCAGAAATTTGTAAGTTTTAAACCTTTATTACAGTATATCATGATTGTTCTATTTCACTAGTTACTGTTGTTGGTCTCTTACTGTGCCTAACTTAGAAACATTATAATAAGTATTATTTATAGGAGAAAACATAGATAAGGAGTTTAGGCATCTACTGGAGGTCTTTGTAATCCCACATGGACAAGAGAAAGTACTTGCATTGAAACCCCTTTTTAGGATCAGATGATTTCAAATCTAGAGGCATCTTTCACAGATGAAGGAGCTAGCTGAGCTTCAGCCACATCAATTATAAAGCAGCCTCCTAGAGTTCTGCCAGTGTAGAAATGCTTCCCCAAACACTGTTTGCTTCAACCTAGGACCCTTGAATGTGGACTGGCAATGACCAGATTCAGCTACCACCTATTTTTATAAACCAGGCTTTATTAAAAGCCACACCTATTTATTTAGTGTTATCAGTGTCTGCTTTTATGCTGCAACACAAGTAGAGTTAAGGAGAACCAGAGATTGTATGGCCACAAGGCCTAAAATATGTACTAATTGGCTTGTTAAAGAGAAAGTTTGCTGCCCTCTGTTCCACAGCATGATGCTCCCATGTAGTGGGAATCACGGGCATAATAATGTAGGGCATGGGAATAAGATACATTGCCCTTGCTCTCAAGGCATTACTTGCACCTAGATGGTGAGGCAAGTCTAAGACATAAAAGGAACAATAACAAGTGACTTAAGAGAGTAGGCAAATTTTGGGCTGCAGGCTACATTTGCAGAACAATCCAAGAGAACTGCAGTAACATCACTCAC